CAATTGATGGGGCCTCTGAAGAAGAGCTAGAGTTCCCACAATTGACCGAAGCAGACTTGCGAACAATCACACAGGGGGACTACCATCTGAGACTTGCTCGGTCTTATTATGCCGAGCATGTCAAGGCCAATGGAGTGTATGAGGTCCAAGTAGCCAAACATATTGGACCCATACCGATCTCCTATGGCCTTTCAGTTGGTACCCCTGTGCTGATTAGAGGGAAGATACAGTCTCGACACACCAGTTCAAAACAATATTTCGTTTATATTCTTCTTGATTTAGATGAACTGGGTGTCGATTCATTATCTTCATATACCTGCTCTTGTCCCCAAGGCCTCAGAACTGTCGGATGTTGTGCGCACGTTGCGACAGTTCTGTGGTATCTCGGGTATGCTAGACATCTACCCGAGATTTCAATTCCCGCAGAATATCTAAATGATGTCTGCGTGGAATTGGAGGGACAAGAGTAGGTATTTCGTCGGTGGAATTTGGTGGAGGAGGTCGGTTTATAGGGGATTATTGTTGAAAGGATCCGGTTTATAGCCTACACGACAAACACATCTATAGTCCGATAGACTCGTATCGCAAACTGTATTCATATCATGTGATTGACATTCACTATTTTGCCAACAATGAAAATACTGACATTTATTAGAACCTAATATTATATATTTATAATAATAATTAGCCGTATATTTACACTGCTTATTTAAACAAAAAGGTCGAGGTGGGGGAGGTGAGGTAGATTTATGTCCATATAAACTACAATCAGTATCACGCGAACACGGTTTAAAATGATCTGGCTCGAATTTTTGGTATCTTTGATCACCCCTTGTTACGTCTTTTCCGTTACACTTTTTGAGTAAAATAATTAATAACAATATAAAAATTATTCTCATCATAAAGAATAACTTATTTGTCGAGTAATATAAATAATTGTCTAAAAATCTAGCTTATCAAAATACTTTTAATTAATAATCAAATCCAATTAAGTATTATGTTTTACAATACACGGTTAACACGGTAAACATTCAACATTGTATGATCAAAACAATTTGTATGATTCAAAATATATACATANATGTATTTAAAAATCAACAAGGCAAAATTTTGCAAAATCCAGAATTTACTTTTTTGGTATTGACAATGTGTATCAAATCCAAAAATCAAAACTTAAAAATGTTATATACTTTTTAAGTAATTTAAGATTTTCAAAAACTACCGTTCCCTACCGGTGCTTTGAGAATTGAGTAAAAGTCGTCATATCAGTGTGTTGGTGCAATAAAACCATAGTTGTAAAAAATTTTGTTTTAATCTAGCTCTATTCTAAGTATTTTTAAATTTAATAAAACGAGTAAACACGATTATGGCGAAGATTTTATATTAATATATTAATATAATAATAAAGTTATAGAAATATACAAAATTAGTATTTGAACTCTGCTTGCATACAGTATGGAAACAGAGTCGATGAACAAGTTTAGTAAATTTCTAATAGGTAATATAGTCATAACTCAATTAAACTCACAATAGATCGCATGTGGGCCCCAAACACCAGACACCTCCACAGTTTGAGATGCAATGACTTTTGTGAATATAATAGGAATTCATTGGTCTTCTTGTGGTCATTATATGTGTCTATTTTGGTGCCGAAAGCGCACGAAGCGATTGCATCGATCGTTAGGCTTCCCATCGTTTCCTTCATCTCCACGTCTTCTCCAATCATGGCTTTGGTCTCTAAATAGTTGTCTAATCTGTGGACACAATCAATGATAATGGGATGCATTGCCCGCATTTTCCCACTCGAAAACGTCGGCGTAATCTATTTTATTATAAATTTTTGTCCCATTAATAAAAGTTATATATTTTGCTAAAAATATACAAAATTAGTATTTGAACTCTGCTTGCATACAGTATGGAAACAGAGTCGATGAACAAGTTTAGTAAATTTCTAATAGGTAATATAGTCATAACTCAATTAAACTCACAATAGATCGCATGGTTTTCCACTCGTCTCCCATAAGGTTAAACAGTGATCGATCTACCATGACACTATTTAGTGTGAAATTATGTCGATTCACAAACGCGTGGAAATGTTTGATATTCATGTCTCGGATGACTTCCGGGTCGGCAACCATTAGTACGGGTCGAGTGCCCAGAAATACTCTGCATATTAATCACATTTGGATATATTGTTTATAACTATTAATATTAAATAATTAATATTAACTATACTCACCCATATAATTTTCCATATTTTGTGTAATTATCCAAGGAAAATTGAGTTAATGTCCGGGTTAGATAAAACAGTGTATTACCCAATACTGGCAATGGTTTGGGGCCATTAATTCCTCGGGAACTCCAGTAATTAAAATTTTGTGTTAAATAACTAATGAATATATTGGCAAATTAATATTCAATTCAATTGAATCTTGCTTGTCGCTTTTATACTTACAAATAGAGTAATACTAATAAAAATAAAATTAAAAACAATGTATACCATGTAAACAAATAAAAATGCATTATTTTCTGTTTAAAACTTATTTTTTAAAAATATTTTATTTAAAATTTATATCTAGTACTAGTTACTATACAAGTATATCCTATTTAATTATAATTTAACTTGATGCACTTTTGATTCATTCATTAAATTCATAGAATTTTTAGAAAATGTGTTTGTGTCAATTAAAATCTATTACAGTGAAATTATTTTAATTAAAACATGATTTTATTAGTCAATCAGATAAAATCCTGTTTATGCAAATAAATAAATTTATTTCAGCATAATTCAATGTGAATGTGTATTCCGTTGAAATCTTTGTAAAATTATATTTATAGTAATTTATGAATGTATGTAGCAATACAAAAATAAAATTTACACCCCCACAAATTATCAGTATTAATTAAGTTATAAATCTTATTATTATATTTTTAGCAAATATTTAACCAAAAAAATTATAGTACAAATAATGACTGTATTCATGTAATGATTTGTATTAATAATTGTTTTTATTGATAGTACATATTGCACATGATCTGTTAAAATATTTATATTTAGAAATAAAGTCATTTTAAGTACTGGTAATTCAAATTATACGATTACATAGACTTAAACGGTTTAAAGTAAATATACTTATTGAGACATCACAATTATATTAATTTAATTTAATTTAATTTAAATTTATTATAACATATAAAATGAATGCTACTACAATATTTATAATAGTTTTAATAGCATATTTTAAATATTGTAATGGAATAGAAAATAATGATAATAAATATGATCATGATTATTATGAAACGTGTTCTCGGGATACAGACTGTTTGACTACATCAAAATACCCAGTACCATTTTGTCTAAATAATCGGTGTCGGTGTGGCCGTAATTATTACTACGATAGTCGTAAAGAATGTCTCAGTTTTTCATGTAATACTGACAGTGAGTGTCAATCATATGATGTGAATAGAGTTTGCGATACGAGTCAAGTGAATAAGTTTAAGAGATGTGTGTGTCGTGCGGGCTATAAACCGGATCCATTAAATCATAATATATGCTATAAAACTAACCATGGTCTGTCATGCACAAGCGATTATGTATGTATGGACAGGGAGTTGGTGTGTAGAGACGGTGTGTGTCGGTGTTCACCTAATTATAATGAAACAGTTGTTACAAACAAATGCCTGGCCATTGAGTGCGGACAGACCCCGGAGTGTGGAAAGTGTTATACAAAACCTTTTTGTTTAATGAAAAGGGATGGCTGTTATTGTGCGGAGACTATGAATAATAAAATTAGTATGAAATGTGATGATTGTGTTGAGGCCCATAAACAACGAGCTTATTTCGGTTATTTTATGATAGTTATGATAATTAGTTTATTTGTCATTGTTTATATTGGATATAAACTGCGTAAATATTTCCCAATACATATTAATTAGCATATTAATAAACAAATAAAATGACCAGTTAAAATGTATACATTCAATGAATTTGTCATGAATCAAATATAGGCATAATAAATAAATAAGTATTTCTTATGTTTATTGCAATATATTTCCAATTACTGTAAATCCTTTAGAAAACTAAGAATAACTTTTTAGTTTACATTTAAATTGATTGCACATGATCTATAAATATATTTATAAATGCTAGCAGTTTAGCAAATTCAGATTATATAAATAAAGTTAGTTAGTTCACTGTTTAAACATTATTGTGAAAATACAAAAATGTATCTTAAAATTAATTTGTTGTTATACACAATAATATCTATAGTATTAACAGGATGCCCAAAATATTGTAATGGAAAGGGTTTCCGTGATCATATTAAAAACCAAAAATATCAACTTGATTACTTAAACAAGTGTTTTAAAGATGCCGACTGTATGCCAATACGGTTTCCACCACCGGAACCATTATGTGTAAATAACCTTTGTAAATGTTTGGCTAATTATTATTACAAGTATTCGCAATGTCAGTATTTCTATTGTAATAATGATTTTGAGTGTCATTCATATGATATGAACAGAGTTTGTGATACACGCCAACAAAAATTTAGGTGTGTATGCCGTGATGGCTATAAACCGGATCCTTTTAACAATAATATGTGCTATAAGACTGATCATGGTCAATCTTGTGCAACCAATTATGACTGTATGGACAGATGGCTAGAGTGTAGGGACGGAGTGTGTCGGTGTACACCTAATAATAGACAATCGGTTGATACAAACAGATGTCGGGCCTTTGAGTGCGGAGAGACTCCGGACTGCCAGACCTGTCGGGAAATTCCATTTTGTGTAATGAAAAGGGATGGCTGTTATTGCTCGGACAGTATGAATAGGACGGGTACTAAATGTAATAAATGTGCTGAAATGCATATCTATATGAAAAATGTAACTTATATTATATTATTTATTATTTTTGTAATAAATGTGATGATTTGTATTTGTTATAATTGTTATAAATTTCGTAATAGCATTAGGTTAAGGTTTGGCGTTAGTTAGGCTAAGGACTTTGGTTAAACGTAAAAACTAGATTTATTGCCATTTATTTTTATTTTATTATTATGCATGTTTAAAAATAACGTGTACCCTAAATTATATGTTTTTATATTTATTCTATGCCAATTCTCAATTTAACACATTGCACATGAACTTTAAAAAATTAAAAATAAATATTTATTACTAATATAAAACTATATATACGAGAAGTATTTAAATAAATTCACTAGTTGCTTAAGTTTACACTATTTATGTAAAATATAAATGCACTATTCTTTAGAAATTAATTCTAAACATTGTTTAAATTACAATTAAATATGATTTTAAAAATAAAATTTAATTTATATTTAAAATTTATAATTCTATTAATAATTTGTTTTAAATATTGTGCTGCAATAGTAGGCAAAAAACTTAATATAACCTACCAAAAATTTGTTATCGATACTTATAAATCTTGTGTATATGATACTGATTGTGTGCAAATTGCGTGGCATTTAAGTACTTACCCACCTGCACCATTTTGCCTAAATAAACAATGCAAATGTGGGGCTAATTATTATTATAAAAGTAATCAAGAACAAAAGTGTCATCGATTTTATTGCGATAATCACAGTGAGTGTCAAACATATGATGGGAACCGAGTTTGCGATTTAGGTAAACCTAAACCAAACGTGAAATGTGTGTGTCGTGTAGGCTATAAACCGGATCCATTTAACAAAAATATATGCTACAATACTAATTATGGTCAATCCTGTGCAACCGATTATAACTGTCTAGACAGGGAGATGGTGTGTAAAGACGGTATGTGTCAGTGTTCACACAATTATAGTCTATCGGGTAATACACACAAATGTCTGGCCATTGAGTGCGCGGAGACCTGGGAGTGTGGCAAGTGTTGGGACAAACAGTTTTGTGTAATGAAAAGGGATGGCTGTTATTGTGCAAATAGTATGAATGGGACAGGTACTAAATGTGATAAATGCACTTATAAAGGTGGTTTTAGCTATTTTTATTTAATAGGGGTAATAATTTTAATTATTATATTTCTACAATATATTTGGTGTAAATATAATAAATGGATAGACATGTAACCAAATCAGACTTTTTGGAAAATAGCATTTACTGTATGTTATACTTTTATTAAACTTTTATAATGAATAAACACACTCAGAACGTATAATAATAATTAATGGGATCATTTTTGTATAAAATTTGCAATGCATTTGAAACAAAAATTGATTTGGTTGTAATTTCATATTATTTTAAACAAACATTTATTAATACTAAAAATTTCCCTGAAATGATTATGCATATTCATTATAAAAGCTTAATAAAAGTATAATATACAGTAAATGCTATTTTCCAAAAAGTCTGATTTGGTTATATGTCTAGCCAAATGTTAAATTGAAAAAAATTAATATATGATTAAATGTCTATTATTTATTTTAAATTACCTAAATAATTTTTTATTCCCTTGATGACTTTGATATTTACAAACAATGCTGAATAATATCCTATTTATGTAATTATTATTATAAATATTAATTGATATAATTGTTATATTGCAGTTTTATTTTAACTCTAATAATTTAATTAAATACGTATTATTTTAAATCTCTACTTATTAGTTAATTAATTATAAAACACAATTTATTTTCCTAAGACTTATTGTATTAATTGTTCAAGTGAATTTATTAAATCTGAAAACTAAATGGATAATAATGACATTGAGATCTATAATGGTGGTGGATTAAGTGTTGGTATGATAATCATGATTTTGATCATGATTTTTACAACGATTGCAATATTAAGCTGTATTTGTTGGAAACCATTTTCAATTCCTGGCAGTTTACGAAATACCCGGACTACTTCTATTAATGTTAACAGATCCAGTAATAACCACAGAAGTACACAAAGAGTTAGGCAATCATCCAACCAAAACATGGGTGATCCAGATAATTGCACAAATAATTATTTACCTAGTCAATCAGGTAATGGTAATGATATACCTCCCGCTTATATTGACTGCACCCAACCGCCCACTTACTCATCTCTGGAGTTTAATAAGATTTAAGATTTAATTATTATTATAATAATTTTAATGAAATTATATTATTTAAATGTATGAACCTATAGATCAACGAATATAGTATTAAGATTTATGTGCTGTAACATAAAAATCATAATATTTTCTCATGTAATTAAGGATTATAAGAGTCTCAATTAAATGACAATTAATATTTAAACATTAGACTTACTTTTTGGACTAAAATAATATTCATTTAACCAAATGCACATGATCGATAAATGTGTTTATTTTATAATTTATAAATAGTACTATTTTAAGTAT